ATTGTGAAGCATCAATGTCATCTACTAGGTATATGTTTCAGAAACGATAGTTTAAAATCTTGATTTTTCCCCTTAAAATGAAAGGTATATTATTTTTACAAATTTCATAATGATTATTTGTTGATAAACCCATAAAAACTTACTTTTTTTTTTTTTTTTTTGGAGACAGGATCTCGCTGTGTTGTCCAGGGTGGAGTGCAGTGATACAATCATAGATCAGTAGATCACTGCAGCCTGGAACTCCTGGGCTCCAGCAAACCCCTCGCCTCAGCCTCCCAAGTAGCTGGGACCACAGGCATGCACCACTTCACCCAGCTAATTTGTTTTTGTTGTTGTTGTTGTTTTTAGAGACAGTGGTATCACTATATTGCCCAGGCTGGTCTGGAACTCCTGGCTTCAAGCTATCCTCACACATCGGCCTCTCAAAGTGCTGGAATTACAGGCCTGAGCCACTGGCCTCTGGTACATTTTTAATAATAATAGGATCATTCCTGTTTCCCAAAGTAAAACAGAGAAAGAGAAACTATAGCTTATCCTCCTACATGAGCCTCCAAACATTATCAGGTTGACCTTATTTTTCTGACTCTATTCTGGAACACCACATTTTATTCCCAGTGGAATAACTGCCTCCCTTCTCCACCCCTACCCATCCCACCCCACCCCACACACACACCCCTGGCATCTTCTAAGCTTTGGCACAAACTACCCTCTCCAAGTTGCCTCCAGCATTGGCAGGGAGGGAGCAGATGAAACTGACCACACTCTTCCCTGCTGGCTGTCAACACACACCACCCATCCTGGGCAAGCGGCCACTTCCATTACTGGGGAAGGGAAGGTCCATGGGCTTAGGTGCTCACTGTTGGCACCCTCCCCCCCCAGTCCTCTGTGTCCATTGGGACACAATGACATGGCTCCTGGCATGGGGCCTGGTGGGTGGGGTGCTTTCCCGTGTAATTTTAAGTGTACAGGATAAAGCCTGGTGCAGCTGAGTGCTCTGGCAATAAGGAAAGCAAACACAGCAATAAGACTCTGTCAACAAGGGTATGGGAGAAAGGAGCCATCCAGGAAATGCAAGCTCTGTTGCAGCCACCTCCTCTGAAATCCCTCTTTGGTTCACTCCGTGCCCGGGAGAACAGGTCCAGAAATTATGAAAAGAGTTTTCAGGCTGCTAGAGCTCCAAGGCAGATTTTTCTAGTTCATTGAACACTCTCCGTTTTGGTGACTTTTATGAATTTTTCTTTTTTTTTTTTTTTTTGACTGGCGTCTCACTTTGTCGCCCTGGCTGGAGTACAGGGGCGTGATCTCAGTTTATTGCAACCTCCGCCTCCCAGGTTCAAGCAATTCTCCTGCCTCAGTCTCCCGAGTTGCTGGATTTACCTTCCTGCACCACCATGCCCGGCTAATTTTTGCATTTTTAGTAGAGACGGGATTTCACCATGTTGGCCAGGCTGGTCTCAAACTCCTGACCTCAAGTAATCCGCTCACCTCAGCCTCCCAAAGTGCTGGGATTACAGGTATGAGCCACCGTGCCCAGCCTCTTTTTTGAATTTTTTTTTTTAACTATAAAAATAACACAATTTTGGAAAACAGGTACAAATATCAAAATGCAAGTCGAAGTGTACATCTGATCTTAACTTCTTATACAAACCTCTGTTCTGCCAAATAGTAGAAACTTAATTCCAACCCATCCAGCATCTCCCCAGATCCTTACACTAGGGTTGTACCTAAATTCAAGGAAGGAGGCTGGACGTGGAGGCTCACACCTGTAATCTCAACACTTTGAGAGGTCGAGGCGGAAGGATTTCTTTAGACCATGAGTTTGAGACCAGCCTGGGCAACATAGTGAGACCCTGTCTTAAATAAATAAATAATAAATAAATAAATAAATAAATAAATAAATGCCACACACTTGTAGTCTCAGCTACTTAGCTACTCAGGAGACTGAAGTGGGAAGATTTCTTGAGCCAGGAGGTTGGAGGCCACAATGAGCTATGATTGCACCACTACACTCCAGCCAGGGCAACAGAGCAAGACCTTGTCTCTTAAATAAACAAAACAAAACAATTCCTGGAAGCTTAACCTTTTTTGGTAAGTCTGTATTTCCTGCTTCCCTACAATAATCTTTGCCTAACTATTGATTTTTTTCATATACTTAGAATCTTGGTCTTTTCACGCAGCATTCTATTATAAGCTTTTTTCCATTTTGCTATTAAAAATTATCTTCTCATTTATTATTTTTATGATGCAAGCAATGTATGTTCATTGTAGGAAAGTTCCAAAGCACAGATAAACTAAAAACAATTTTTTAAAAATAACTCAAGATCCTGCTACCCAGAGATAATCATTATAAACCTCTGGTTAATGCCATCTGTATTATTTTTCCTATGCACATAGATGCATATAAACCCACGTTTTGGTTTTTGTTTTGTTTGTTTGTTTGTTTTGAGACAGAGTCTCACTCTGTCACCCAGGCTGGAGTGCTGTGGCGTGATCTCGGCTCACTGCAACCTCCGCATCCCAGGTTCAGGCAATTTTCCTGCCTCAGCCTCCCGAGTAGCTGGGATTATAGGTGTGCGCTGCCACACCCGGCTAATTTTTTTGTATTTTTAGTAGAGACAGGGTTTCATCATGTTGGTCAGCCTGGTTTCAAACTCCTGGCCTCAAGTGATCCACCCGCCTCGGCCTCCCAAAGTGCTAGGATTACAGGTGTGAGCCACCACACCCAGTCATTATTTTTTATTTTTACAAATTTATGCGGAACAAATGCAGTTTCACTATATGGATATACTGCCTAGTGGTGACGTCTGGGTTTTCAGTGTAACCGTCACCCCAATAGTGTACAGCATACCCATTAGGTAATTCCTCCTTCCTAACCCCTCTCCTACTCTTCCCAAGTCTCCAGTGATTATTATGTTCTTTTATTGCTATTGCCCAGGCTGGAGTACAGTGGTGCAATCATAGCTTACTGCAGCCTCAAACTCCCAGACTCAAGCAATCTTCCTGCCTCAGCCTTCCAAGAAGCTGGGACTACAGGCATGCATCACTATGCTCAGCTAATGTTTTTATTTTTTGTACAGATGGGATCTCACTATATTGCCCTGGATGGTCTCAAACTCCTGGCCTCAAGCGATCCTGCCACCTTGACCTCTCAAAGTGCTGGGATTACAGACAGAAGCCACTATGCCTGGCCTAACATAGTCTTTTTTAAAAAAATAATAATAATTGGCTGGGAAAGGTGGCTCATGCCTGTAATCCCAGCACTTTGGGAGGCCAAGGCAGGCAGATCACCTGAGGTCAAGAGTTCAAGATCAGCCTGGCCAACATGGTGAAACCTCCATCTCTACTAAGAATACAAAAATTAGCTGGGCATGGTGGTACACGCCTATAATCCCAGCTACTCAGGAGGCTGAAGCAGAGAGAATCACTTGAACCCAAGAGGCAGAGGTTTCAGTGAGCCAAGATTGCGCCATTGCACTCCAGCCTGGGAGGCAGAGCGAAACTCCCTTTCAAAAATGATAATAAGAATAATAATAATAATTAACCATTTTTCGGCCGGGCACGGTGGCTCAAGCCTGTAATCCCAGCACTTTGGGAGGCCGAGATGGGTGGATCACGAGGTCAGGAGATCGAGACCATCCTGGCTAACATGGTGAAACCCTGTCTCTACTACAAAATACAAAAAACTAGCCGGGCGAGGTGGCGGGCGCCTGTAGTCCCAGCTACTCGGGAGGCTGAGGCAGGAGAATGGCGTGAACCCGGGAGGTGGAGCTTGCAGTGAGCTGAGATCCGGCCACTGCACTCCAGCCTGGGCGACAGAGCGAGACTCCGTCTCAAAAAAAAATAAATAAATAAAAAATAACTAACCATTTTTCTTAATGGCTCCCCAATACCTCATTGTGTGCCTGTATCGTAGTTTGTGGAACGCTTCTGCTCTTGTATGTTTAAGGTTCCTTGCCATGCGTGTCTGTATCCATACAGAGAAGCCAGGCAGAGAAGATTTAGCCATTGCAAAATGTGGTCACCTCTCAAATCAAAATGTGGTGTATGACCAGCCGGTGAACAAGAAAATGACAAACCAGGAGGCCCTCTGGCCTCATGACAAGATGAGTCCTCCAAAGGCCAGATACGTACTTGTTTTTCCTTGAAAAGAACATTCACAAAGAAAAGAATAAACAGGAAGGTTTTCCTCGCAGCTATGACCACATCTTCTGTCTTAGAGTCTGGGGTCTTCCGGATCGGTTAGCAAGACATGTGTCAGGCTGCTGGGATGGAGGCCTATATCGTCTTAGAGCCAGCAGTGGAGAAACCCACAGAACGAGTCTTGTAAGGAAGTCGCCAGGCATGG